CCTTCAGCTTGATTGTATGGTAGGTAACTGAAGTGTGCCTGAATGCCAGTTGAACTGCTCCCTCAAACATTCTGGACATTGATCCAATCTGTTGGATTGAGTATGAATAATAGTCCCATCTTTTTTGAGTCTTGCTAACAGTCGGATTCCTAATAAGAGGTGGGAAGGATTTGATTGTGTGCAAGTTGATCTCGTGTGCCATGCGGTGTATGAAGGCGGGTGCCAGTTTCCGGCTGCACACACTGTGAGAATGCACCTCTTAAAGAACCTTGAAAAGAAGTTGGGTTAGCGTTGGTCTTAGAGACCTAGGAACCTGACTTGCTCAAAGAACAACTGTTTGAAGGTGGTCGCACAGACCTGTATATATGGAAAGTCCTTAACCTGTTAGCTCCTCTTTTCAAAAGGCTTTACCGACGGATACGAAAACTCGTGAGGTAAGGTGAAGTGTGACATATTTTGGTCGACCTTCTCTAGCTCTTTCCTTCCGTTACGAGAACGTAGCATCGTTGCAGATGCTGGTTGTCCGAGAGAAACACTCTACTGCTGCCACACTCCTCAACGGTAAGCAGTACGACTTATCCCTCAGACCATAAGTTGCTGCTGTTAGTCTTACCGTTTTACAGTTGGATAGTATGGCATGGTAAGAGACCTAGAGGGAGATCTGTTCCAGCTAATGTAGCTCAGTTTGGTCCGCACGATGGGAAGCCCAGAAAACATGCAGCATGAGTAGGCCTCAACATATCTTAGGGGAAAATCAAGACCCTTAAATACAACATAAACAGCACCAACCAAATCACACTTGACCGAAAAGCTACGAGGCATACATGGAGAAATTGGAATCATTCACTTCTACCTGAAGTTTATGCTGGTGATGTTGTTTGGAAGAACAATAAAATCTCCACAACCAAAACATCCAGCTCAGAAAACGAAACTATCACAATCATCCACCTGCGCTACAAATTTTCTCCAACACCTCAATAGTTGATCATTGGTGATTTTAAAGCTTTCTTCACGCATTGTGGAAAGACAAAGTGAACAACCCTGAGGTTAACAATAGGGTACTACTGGGGGAAAGCAGGTGGCAAATCGGTTAGTGAGGTTGTGAATCTTCAACCACTATGACATGTTTTACGCATGCCTTAATACTACTCACCTCGACGGGACATACTGTTTGGCAGAAGATTAGGGATACCATCAGTCCATAAAGTTATTGGCTGTCAAACTTAGTTGTTCTGACAGACTCATACGATTTGGTTGAGGCCTTTTAGATAACCACAACCAATGGTTAAAGACTGAGTGACACGGTTTTTAATTAACGAAAGTGATACAAAAGCATCCACTCCTTATTCTCTCATAAGAGCCAATATTATTTCAAACCTTTTATTCCTCCTATTCAACCGTTCTTTTTGAACTAAATTTTCTAACATTTAATCCTTCTCATTACCACTGATACTACTATTATTTCGATTGTTTCGTTATTTACACTGTTAATTTTATCTATGATATGTTATGGTAACTTCGGGTGAATTATAATTTTGACCTACTCAGCAAATGTACACCAGCAATCTAACATGCAAATATAGCGTATCAAAGTTACTTCATTTTAAAACTAAAAGGCAACCGGTTAACCTAAAGTTTCGTTCTGAAGGATAAACTGGAACAGTGGAAACAAACTTATCTTTACATGTAAAGCAGACAGAACAAAAGTGGTCCTATCAAAACAACACTATTACATTTACTGTACGGGTTTCTGGTAGTAGCTAACGAACTGTCTAAATTGCCAATCGTTGTAAATAATAGACAGAGATGGAGATAGGCCAAAAAAGACAGCATTATCAAAAAGATAGATCAATTGAGACTATAGGGGTTGAAGAGTTATTTCAGCATTAGGTATACAAATATCAGGCTACACGAATCCTGTACAAACTTAGACAGATGCAAACTTATTAAAAACTAGTCATACTTTCAAGGTTTTTATGAGCATATATTACACAATAGCTTGTAGATCATCTAAAAATGTATAGAGTTTTAGCATCACTCAAATAGTTATATGTTGTAGAACTGCAGTTAAAGTCTGGAAAATGAACCAAATTACTCAAGGTTTGTGCTTATGTTAATGATGCAGAAAACCATCACTACATAAACATAAATTACTGTAGTACGTCTAATATACTAAACAACACTGTCCCATGATCTGAATTTAAAACAGTTAAAGTAAATGTACATGCAGTACGATTGATTATAAAACCTAATAGATTCACCATCTATTAAGTAAGCTGTAACTGATACAAATAACTTTCAACAGACTAGCTATAATTTTCATGAAGAATTCAAATATAATGGATGAAGTAATAACAACATAAAATACTTGTAGATAATAACAAAAATGAGAGAGACAAAAATATCAACTTACCGCAATGCGAAGCTGAAAATCTTCGGATGGTGTTATTGGTATTTTGTCAGAGAACTTCTTTTCTAGAGACTGTTGTACACTATCTATCATTGAAAAACAAGGCGAATAAGTCTGGCTATTGATAAAAATGTGAAGTGAAAGAGTTAGACATTAATTTCTCTCTACTGATCACACCGGAATGAACAATGGTGAGCAGAAAATTACAACAGCCAAAATATGACCTGCTAAAGTTTAGAGCACCTAGCTTTTTAAACGCAAATATGAAACTAGCATGCATATATTCCCAGATTTCAACAAGAATATTCCATTTCAAATCTAATTAGCTTAGGCGTTTCACGAATTAAAACATGTTTCTTCGGTGTTACTTTATGACCCTTCTGTTTCTTGATTTAATATTGTTTATTTTTCTCGATTTTCGGTATTACTGTGGAATGCAGTAACTTAAACTAATGATTTCGTGTGTAACAATTGTTTTTCTGGATAGTTCTTGATGAGCGAATAGGCACTAAATGGTCACCAACCAAATAAATGAAAGATTTAAACTGTTGTTAACATATGGGGTTTTATCTTAGAAACGCGAACGACTGATGATTACAATCAGTATGAAAAATTCGACTTTTTCTATAAATTAGATAAAGCCTTAGTCAGTGTGCATATCACCATTTAGCTTATAATTAAAACCTATCGTCGAATCCTACTTCCTGTTCGTCAGTGTGCTTAATCTAGATACATTACTGGTATGCTATGTTGTTGCTGAATGAACAGTTGTACTATTTCTCAATACGTTGAGGGTAACTTCCTAGTCCCACCCTGGGAGAGCACTATCGACCAGTAACTCGCAGCGATTCTTGCTAAATGCTTGACCGATAAATTTAAAAATCAGCACCGACAGTCTTGAAAAACATGACACCAGTCACAATTCAGTAATCGTAAGCTGAAAATATCATTTTTCATGTGGAACATGTGAACTTATGAAGACTTTACTTACGCTGTACCTCCCTAACAGGAGGAAAACATAGATATGGATAAATTAGAGTTTGTAAATAAAGTTATGTCCCATAGTGAACAACCGCATCTGTAGACTAGCTTCAAATGAGGCATTTAGGAGATCTACAAGACATTGAGGCGAATACCCTTACACAGAACAATTTTAGCATATACTAAATAGAAAATATCAAAAGGACAGTTGAGCCAACTACATACTTTCCTTTCGACTTAATCATAGCATGACTTAACTAGAAACAACATTATCTACATCCCAAATAAAAACTGGTAAAATAACTTTATAGAATTCCAAACGATTCAAACAACTCTCAACCAACACCAAAGTCAGGATTTTCAATGCAAGCATCAAGACAGTCCTATTGTGTGGAGCTGAAACTTCGCGAACTAAGAAGACCATCACTCAAAAGACACAAGCATTTATAAACAGTTGTCTACGCAAGACTCTTCAGATCCGTTGGCCAGATACCATGGAAACAACCCACTATGGCAGAGAACAGACAAGTAAAAGATGCTGGAAGTGGATAGGACACACATTGCGGAAACCACCCAAATGAGTCACAGCCAAGCCCCAACTTGGGACCCTCAGAGTCGAATGAGAAGAGGTAGACCAAGAAATACACTGCGACGAGAATTGGAGGCATGAGTCAAAAATGTGTTTTGCTAGGGAACAACTACAAAAGGGAGCTCATGACGAAGTTGGTTGATGAATCCTGGTCGGTGGTTTATGCTTTACGAGAGCTAAAAGATTTAAGTCCGGAGGTAATATCTTATGACTATACATAAAGGTGATTTCAATTGTTGATTAGTATACATCACATTCTCATTAAATTCTTTATTTTAATTAGGTCATTAATGTACTGAGGTCATGATAGCTAGACAAAAAGTTCGTTGGTCAAGTAGACATCTAGACAATAGATGAGTCATCTCAAGATAGATTATGGAAGTAATCACGAAGATTACACACAAGTTCCAGACAGTTTAATCGATTCTGTCTCTACCTAAACAAATGAATTTTTATTTTTTAACAGACAAGTCTAACATCTGTATTTAATATTTTTATTACATTGTTCAATGTCTTCTGATTTCGTATAGTAATCAATATGATACTACTTTTTATGGAAATCATCTTCAGATTAATTTGTAATCCTCAATATCCCTCTTGATATATTTTAGTGTTGCATTAATTAATTCATAATTTAGATAACGTCTTCTTTTTATGGGAAAAAGGCTTTTTTACTCTAATTTGAAACGGAGAAAATATTTGATAAGCTGATATTTCTGAACCACTTTGCAAATAAAAAATTCGGAGGAAAATCTTTGTTTCAGTAGAATTTAAATCGTAATTTTTTAAGTTACCACTCAAGTGATTCAATCAAATTTCATTAACCTTGATAAAACAATGAGAAGACGTAGTTGGTCTGAAAACTGCGATGTATTTGCGTCATACATTTCGAACAATCTGGTCACACATATTCTTGTCAAGGCATTTAATATGAAAATTAATGAAGGTCAGTTAAACGCGCCATAGATTGGACATCAGTATAGCTTTTAAATCATTGTATAGAAATGTTCAAGGACTGTTATAGCCTCTAATTTATCGCGGTACTCTTTAAGCCCTTTTATAGCCAAGTGTAATTCTTATTCATCATTACTATGTTAATTTTCTTTTACCTTTATTCACACTTATCACCTTACGTTTATTCGAAACTCCATTTGATCGACCTTCATTAATTTTCATGTAAAATACCTTGACAAGAATATGTGTGACCAGACTGTTCGAATATTATAATGCAAATACATCACAGCTTTCAGATCACCTACATCTGATAGTTCTATCAAAATTTGTACAATTCGCCAAAAATGTTGTCTAACCGTAATGCACGAGTAATTCTGTCTTAAATAAGCTCTGAGTATGATATTAAGAGCCGGTATAACCAAAAATAAGTACGTAAACACATTAATACTGTCAATAATTTAGACATACTGTCTACAGTATGTATCCCGATTTAAATATTGTAACTTTGTAAGCCGACATATTTTTTATGGTCAATAGTAATTTGTGTTGCTAGCAAAAATCTTCGCAGCTTTATTTTCATGTTACATACCTAAAAGCAAACCAATAAATTTTAGGTACGAAAATTATTGACTTTTAGCAGATTATGACGTAAAAAGACCATCTAATGTAAAATACACTTTAAAATTTCTTAAGTTAGCGATTATCTTTCACGATGAAATAACTTACTTAGCAACTGATAGTTGGAGTCTCGTTCGTACTTAAAGGTCAGTCGGCCGTAGCTCACATGGTTAAGATTTTTAAGCCACTCGAAATACGAGACAGTAACACCACCAGCATTCAGATACAAATCTGGAATAACCAGCTTATTTTTCTCTCGTAATATCTGTAGAAGAATATTTTTTAAAAAAAGTTAAACGCATATAATTACGATTGAACTGAATTCAAATCTATGATATAACATGCCTCTCACCAAGAGAATGGGCAACTGACAAAGGAAGTATAAAATAGATTTAGTGAATGGAGTAAACTAACTAACCAAACTGTGATTTCCGATAGACTATAGATCACCAATCTACTCACTTGTTGTATTAAGGAACTCCGTGTTAGTCGACGTAAATGAACGACTAATCAGACGTTTTGGTACTGGACCTATACGTTTTATTACCGTACATCAATATTTCTTCATTTCTCGTATTTTTATACAAACACACAAAATAACTATCTAAATGTTTCATTTGCTTTATCCTACACCGATTATTTATCATATGATGAATACCCACAAAATTAAATTTAGTGAAAACTTACCATACACGTGATGCTCATTAAGTCAGATTGATGTATCAAAACGGATTGCCTACTATATATCAAGAATCACTATTGACGCTTCTCATAATTTTGGTTACTATATATTGTGAAATCGTGTGTTCCCATATAATTATAGCTTTTCTTTGTAACAATTTTTCAAATCGATTCTGTTCTAAAAATCGAACAAGCATATCCTGTGAATTCGATACATCTTGATTACTAATTACACATTATTTAGTTGACTTTATTTATTGACCATTCGATGCTGGAGACAGAAATTTCGCATGACTATGGCATTATCAGATAATTCAATTTTGTTCTGTAAAGCTTTCATATGAATAATTATATGTTTTCTGAAAAAATGGACACATGAAAGAAAAGAAACATTCTAAACCATACAATATTCTCATTCTC